ACTCAAGGCTAGCACTCCATTCTACTGCTTGAGCCGTAACACCACTTTTGGCTTTTTCTGTGTATGGGGTTCTGAGGAATTGAACCCAAGGCTTCATGCATGCTAGGCAACAGTCTACCACTGAGCCACCTTCCCAGCCCCAAACAGGCAGTTTTTGACAAAAGTAATTCATTCTAAATGACATCTGTAGAGGAGGAAATTCACCCTAGTGAAGTACACTCCCCCTGCAAGTAATTTACCTTGTGAAGCCTTCAGGCACTTCATTTAATGGCCACAGTCAAAGTAACTTCTAAAGCCTGTTCTAAAGCTCAGAGACACCTCTGCCCCCACGCCCCAGTTTAATTTCTGACAAAGCCAACACTTACAATGTTCCTTTATTTATGTCTCTTGGCATTTGTAAATGGTAAGTGTGTGCTTAAGAGACAACGGTTTGCTCTGCGGGGAAAGGTGTACGGCTTTCCTCACCCCGGCTCAGATCCCGGGTCCCAGGTGAGGATCCTGAGGGTCAGAAGGTGGTCTGGACCAGCAGGGAGCTCTAACTGCTGCGTGAGGGAGATGTCAGGAAACAAATGAAAACCATCCACTCCGCAAACCTTAGGTGTCTAAGGTATCTTCTCTATTGCTTAAAGTTCGAATGATAACCAAGCAGATCTGTTTCAAATTTGGATGGATACAACCTCATTCCAAGAATCATTTTCTCTCTGATGGAGGAGCATGGATTAAACCCTTCCTACTTTGAACATACTGCATGGGTAGAGATGACACTACAAAATAAATTACACAGACGTCTGAATATAATTATGAGCTCCCAAGTCTGAGCAGTGCGGATGCTAAGTAGAGATTTCATTGCTTCTCAGCATTTAACTGTTCAACCAATAGCTGAATTGAGACAGTAAGAGTTTCTGGGCAAACATTAAAGTTTGCAAATGTACTACACAAGAAATCAAATGAGAACTCATAACTGGCTGAAAGTTGGCCGAAAAGAGTGAAATTATATTTATCAACGTGGTGGTCTTTTATGTGACTTTCAAAACCTCATTTTGATATATAATGCTCCTGTAAGTTTTAATATAATGTGCGTTAACAAACCCGGGAAAGCACAATTTCCAGAAGGCACTAAGCAAAGTTTTAACGTAGAGACGCTGACTGGCCAACTCACACTGCGAAATAACCCAAAAAGATCCCACGAAGTGGACCAGCGCATTGAGACAATGAACAGGGGAGGGGGAGGGAGAGGGAG